AAAAGTTCCTATTCCACTTGATCTGTGGTCATCTGACACAGATTCCCATAACGGTCAACGAAATCATAAATGCTTCCGTAAATTTTTCGAGTGGGTGACTAACATTTCGGAACCCTTGTTTCTATACCTTCCGTGTAACCAACAATCGCGTGTCAAGGAACTCATGATTAAAAAAAGCAAGCCCTCACATATCATATCAACTGGGATGTATGGATATAAACCATATTACAAAAAGAGAAGTTGAAGGATAATTAATAAAAACCTTTTCTATTCTCTTTAAGAAGCTTCTCTATGAAGTCAGAGGTGTACTACTGCAACTGACATCGAAAAATACGCTTCATTAAAGAGTTTTAAATGTTCCTGGATAACACACGACAGGAAATTGTTTAAAATGATAGAATAATATCTATATTCTAATTTTCGTCAGTTCGTAATAAATTTCTTAAGTCACCTTTTTGTAATTTAGTCCGTTTACGGAATATTCATGGTTTTCGGTAGTATTTTTAAGATAAAAAAAATATTAAATGTTTTGTTCAATTTCATGCTATTTACGTAAATATTTTCGATGCACAAATTATGAAGGGTCATCGGAATGCTGAAAACATATTCAAAATACCATTCTAGAACACAAGTTGTAAACTTATAGTCGGCTGGCAGTATTTAGGGAAGAAGTTAACGCATTTTTCTTTAAAAACAAGGAAAGATCTGATTCGAAAAACAATGTTTTGTTTTTAGTGACAAATATTATATTTAGATACCGCATGCCACTTTAAATGGATAAACTCCGAATAGTATTGTTAAAAATCCAGAAATTAAATCGTCTCTCATTTTTCTAGTTTTTTATTACGGATATAAAATCCGTCAAACAGCTCAATTTTTATAGTCTGTTTGTTCACGATTAACTTGATACTTACGAGGTGAATTTGTACATGATCTGTGATTCATCAGATATTTTTGAGTTGTTGAAGTGTGCTTTGATCACAAGTCGCTGTTCTTTTGAGGTTTTTTCTGCTCATAAGTTATATTTTTGTTGCTTGAACTTTGACTTTTTATAATAGTTTAACCGAATCCTTGTGATAAGATTCTTTCCAGAAAATGATTTGAGAATCCTATTAAAGTTTATTTCTATACGAGTCACATGAGAAAAAAGAATGAGGCTTTGCTAGATGGATCTATTGTGGGTCAATAGAGCAAGTTAATAGATACACAGGTATAACATCATGCATGTCCCTTGTCTTGGGGAGGGATAAATCCTACTTTGTAAAGAATCACTCTGATTCAAACAAAAAATTCTCTGAAACTGACATTATCAAGATGCTTGATTTCTTGATTGACAACATATTTGTTACGTTTGGAGGACGTGTTTTTCAACAGACTGTCGGAATTCCAATGGGAACCAATTGTGCCCCTCTTCTTGCCGACTTGTTTCTTTATTATTATGAGGCTGACTTCATACAGGAACTTCTTAGGAAGAAAGATAAGAAGTTAGCAATATCCTTTAACTCTACGTTCCGCTATAAAGATGATGTTCTCTCACTAAATAATACAAAATTTGGTGACTATGTTGAACGAATCTATCCCATCGAACTAGAGATAAAGGATACTACAGATACAGTTAAGTCTGCCTCATATCTTGACTTACATCTAGAAATTGACAATGAGGGTCGGTTGAAAACAAAACTTTACGACAAAAGAGATGATTTCAGCTTCCCAATTGTGAACTTTCCATTTCTATGTAGCAACATTCCAGCAGCGCCTGCATACGGAGTATATATCTCCCAATTGATACGATATTCCCGGGCTTGTGTTTCCTATCATGATTTCCTTGATAGAGGATTGCTGCTCACAAGGAAGCTATTAAGCCAAGAGTTCCAAATGGTGAAGTTGAAATCATCCCTTCGTAAATTTTACGGACGCCATCACGAGTTGGTTGACCGTTATGGAATAACCGTTTCACAGATGATATCGGATATGTTCCTTATGTCGTAACTACAATACCCTTCCCTTTTCACGAATGTGACTTACCGAATTAGACTATTTACCGGATATGTAATAACATAAGCAACACGACGGGTGCCACATGTGGAGCAGGATCTGCTTACCCTTCCGGAGCACCTGAGATCACCCCCAGTTTTTGGTGGGGTTCGTGTTGCTTAGTCTTTGGTTTTCTATGATGTGTCATCTGTAGTATTATTTGTCTGTTTGTCTTTTTATTTTGGCCATGGCGTTGTCAGTTTGTTTTCGATCTATGAGTTTGACTGTCCCTCTGGTTTCTTTCGTCCCTCTTTCAGGACGAGAACAAATTAACAATAAATACAATAGGTATGTATGTCCTGTGATAGAGGCCGTCCGGGTTGAACGTCTGGATAATTTTAACTACCACTTAGGCTGTCTTGGATAGGAAATACATTTTGCTATGCAGCAGGCCATATGCATACCCCTTTAAGTATTATCAACGTAAAGAGATCGTGGCATTCTCTTTACACAAGGCGTCGGATTTAATGTCCCCATTCTGAACGGACGTGGCTGCGTACTTGTACATCCCGCACAGCCAAACAGACGCCCACTCTGGCAAGGGTTTTATTGTTGGTCGGAAGAAGACCAAAGTGACCATATTTCTATTCCTCAGTCACCCTTGAGACGTTCCGCTGACCAAAATTTCAACAGTCGATAAATATGCTCACCCCAAATACCTCTAATGTTTGCTGACTAAATCAGAAAACATTATCTGTATTAAAATTCCTCAACCATACAACCCGGTTTTGGTTTGAAAGAAGTGGAAAATAAACACCAAAACAAATAGCGACTAGTCTTTCAACAAGTATTATAGCAGCCGTAACTACCTGCGTATCCAGAATGGATAAAGCATCCAACCAGATAGCGATGATTACCTGCGTGTTGCCCGAGACAGGAGCACTATAAGTAGCCACTAAACTCCGTTCCTCCGAAACAACATAGATGGTACTTAGTTTGTGTTATCTGTAACTTTATTGTCAAATAAAATTCTTTTGCTTGTAAATGGTTTGGTAGCTTATGCGGTATGGGTTTTACTCATTGTTGAAGGCCGTACGGTGACCTATAATTGTTAATTTCTGTGTCATTTGGTCTCTTGTGGAGAGTTGTCTCATTGGCAATCATACCACATCTTCTTATTTTTATTATCCTTAAAATATAAATATATAAAATTATGGAATTTATATCGAGATTGCATATTTCTTTTTGAATATATTGGTTTTAAAGACATACCAATATATTTAGACACCCGAATGTAAAACGTGCACCTCCAAGGATATATCATAACCCATCTTCTGCTTTTATTTTATAGTATTATTGTCGAAGGCGCAATTCAAATTTATAATTTATCAGATTATTTACAAGATTTCCACGTGGTACAACTATTGTAAATAAATGTATGAAATGCAAAGAATAGTTGAATACGGAAAATGTCATTGTACGTCAAAACTGAGGTTCGTTCAAGGGATACCAAAAAAACAAAAGTGGTACGAAATTGCAATTGAAAATAACGTAATAGGCGACATGTAAATAATGATTTTCAAGTTGCTAACTTTTTTATCCACATAATATTTACTTCACACCAAAATATTATTTTCTTTTTCATGTCACCGTCATAAATGTTGAATTTAGTACCTTAAGTATGCAAATAAATCTAAGAATGTAAGAAGGTGAACTCTTCAATCTGATTAGAATACAGATCCTGTATCCACGCATCACATACAAGGATCACACCACATTCTTTTGTGTTTTTGTTTTATGTTGCGGTGCTTTTCAAAATCGTCGGTATTTGTCTAGCGGTACAGATTAAAAAATCCAAAGGAGGAAATTTTATTGGTTGAAATGTTAATTATCAGATTAGATGGTTGCTTAACGTCCAGTGGCAAATATTTCGTACCAGTTCAGGACAAGAACAAATTAACAATAAATGCAATACGTAGGTGATGTAATAGAGGCCGTCCGGGATGAAGGTCGGGGAATGCCTCTAGAAAATGAGGGTAAATTTAATAGGAACAGAAATTTTCCTTGCAACAGGCCACCTACAGACAAAGAGTTGTTGCAATGGTTATTAACGTGCAGAGAGCGTGGCACTCTCTCTCTACAAAAGGCAATGGATTTAACGGCCTCATTTTGACCGGACGTGCCTGCGTACTTGTACATCCCGCATAGCCAAACGAACGCCCCACTTCGACAACTAGGGTTTTACTACTGGTCGAAAGAAGACTTGCGGGACTATATTTCTATTCCCCAGTAATCCTTGGGTTTACCTTTTACTCAAGGCGTGTACACAGGATCTCTATATTTTGAATGTTTCTAATGATATTTTTTTTCTATTATACCATATTAAAACATATCAAAAAGAAAAAGATTTAAAAGGCCAAATAAAGTGCGAAGTTGAAAGAGCATTCAGGATTCAAAATTCCGAACGGCTTTGCCAAATATAGCTTAGGTAATCTATTCCTCAGGTAGAACATCCTTATCATTTCGAAAATTGAAGTTTTATAAACAGTTAATTTATAATTATGACCATATAAAGTTAAAAAGGTAACTAACCAATCGTCACGTTAAATCATATAATTGACAATTTATCATGTAATTATAGTTAGGAAATGTATTAATCGCACTTTACTGGCATTTTTAAGACCACTTGCAACAATTCTTCGAGAATTCCGTTGGTGGCCTTGTTTCTAGAGAATATCTTTCTCCCTTTTTCCAAAATCAGTCTAAATTTCATGGACTTTATCCCGGTCAACTCATTTTTCAGACCCTTCCGTTAATATTGATTGTTTATTTGTTCTTGTCCTGATATGCGATATATATTTGCCACTGGGTGTGAATCAACAATCAACCAATCCGACTGTTACACATTACACAAAATTACTGTATACAAGAAAAAAAACCAAAAACACGAGGTTGACATTGTTAAAGATACATCAATGTAGCCTCTAGCAACTAAAAACCATAAATTTGTTTACTTTAAATTATCTGTACAAGTTTCTTTGAAAGATAATAAATATTCCGAGAAAGAAATATATGTTGTTTTACCTGAGAATAACTTGGCGTAATTATTTAATGTGTTTAATAGTGGTTATTTAATTTACGTAAATGTGTCATATCATTATGTATTGGTTTAAAGATACTGCTCCTTTAGTGATAACTGGATTTGTTATAACAGTGTCTGCATTTGTAATACATTTGATAGGATTTGCTACACCATATTGGATAAAGGATTATGATTCCCATGACGGATTATGGAAAGTCTGTGATGACATAAACCATCAATGTCTCAGTGTTTCAGGTAATCGTACGTTTTATTGTGACAAAAATGTTTATTACTAGTTATATAATTAAAAGGAGATGCGGGTTAACACAAAAAACCAAAAAGGTATCGAGCCACCATACATTTTTCAACAATATATATATATATATATATGTCTCTTTACAATATTTCAACTTTAAATTGTCCCGAGTCTATAAAAAATGAGAATAAATTGAAAATATAACGGAGGCTAGCACGAAAAATCGGCTGTAATGGAATATGTTTTACAGATGACGACGGATATGTTCCAATTGTAAATATAATCCCATCCTCTATTGCTCGATAGTGACATCACCTTATTTGACTTCTCACCGAATTAGTAAATGCACGAGCAACAGGTGCCACATGTGGATCTGGATCTGCTTTCCCGTACGGAGCACCTGCGATCACCCCTTTTTTCGGCGGGGTTCGTGTTGCACAGTCTTAAGTTTTATATGGTGTTTGTCTTTTGGTAGTTTTTTTCGTTTATTGCTATGGCGTTGTCAGTATGTCATCGACTGATTAGTTTGAATATCCCTTTGGTATCTTCCGCCTATCTCTTGAATATCCCTTTGGTATCTTCCGCCTATCTCTTGAATATCCCTTTGGTATCTTCCGCCTATCTCTTGAACATACACTGTCTAAGATCTGCTATCAACGCCCTATTCTCCCGATAAAAACATCCGGGCTTACTACATAAAATATACTTTACTAATGTATCGGATCGATCTCATACACATGCATATAATTCATTGGTAATGTTCATATATTTTAAAGGAGATTTTATTTCTGGTAAAAGAGAGATAATCAAATTTGATTGATGTCCAATCGCGTAATACAAAGCATTACCTCTCATTCGATACTTTTCATATCCAATCATGCATTTAAAAGCATTATACCTCCCATCCGATACTTGTCATGTCCAATCGTGCATATCAAAGCATTAGACCTCTCATCTGATATTTTTCATGTCCAATCGCGCATTACAAAGCATTATACCTCCTGTCCGATACTTTTCATGTCCACTCGCGCATTACAAAGCATTATACCTCCTGTCCGATACTTGCGTAATATATAATTTATGATAGTCCAGACGAACATAACACCATATATAATAAAAAGATATGACATAAAAAAAAAAACCCTGACGAGGTTCCTGACTAGGGACATACATACACATATAATTCCGAGCGTAGTTAAATGACTTGAAAGTTATGACTACAAACAATCGACACTGCTTCTTTTCTATTACAGTTTTGTACCGATCCTTCTTCGGTTTGCATACAGATGCAGTAACCAGAAGTTAATAACTATATACGTAAATTGATGAAACAATTGTTTTTAAATTAATTTTGTTGGACCGCTTACAGCGATTTCTTTAGTTGAGCATTGAACACCATTTAGCAAGTGTCAAGATAAAACAATTACAGTACTGGTCATTAGATGGAGTGTTAACTTAATTTAGAGATTTTAAGTCTCTTGTACATCAACAAATTTTTTTTCGATAAAAATTTCGAGTTTTTCTCAGAAAAGTTTATTCGATTTCACAAGGCCGCAATAAAAAAATGTTTGTTTCCCCACACCCCTACCCAGATTTTTGCTGGTGGATAGGTAGGTACAAATGAAGGTGTTTTTTGGGGTGTTTTTTTGTTTTTTTTTTGAAAATGTATTTGTCAGACAAAAAGAAAACATAATGCGTGAACAATTGGCAACTACACTCATGGTACTACTTTTTTGTGGTGATGCTATTCATCAAGCTTTGTGTTCACCTTTACTATGAACTATACCCTGTTATTGATAAGCAGCTTTATACATTTTGATAACTACTGTATTGCATACAAAACGTTCTCATTTCTGACCGTATGGTTATGCAGTTTTTGTGTAACAGTAAAATGTTGATATTCTTTATACACAAAGAAAAAAAATCAATTTTTACAAAGAACTTTTAATTCAATAACTTAAACTTATCAAACTTCTGTACAAGACTAATTGACTCATAAAAGTTTGGTTCAAAAACGTTAAATGAATAGCAGCTCGACACTTTCTCACTAGCTTGCAACAGAACCTCGTCAGAAAAGCAATGAAAGACTTCTTCAACCGTGTCAGTGGCATCTTCAAATACTTCTTTGCAAATTGATTGTTTTTCCAATCTGTTGTTTACTAAAGTTTTATTTTTCCTGTGTGTGGATATTGTATCCTAACACACGAAGAGAGGGTCATTGTGTTTGCCATTGACGCGGATCAATCGGAACTACTCAGTCTTTTTCAATTTATGTCTAGATGAAATGGCTGATTAGTTCCGATTGGACGCATGCACACATTAAATAAGAACTCGAATCCGGATCGCTATTTCCGGAAATCAGAGTTTGGTCAGACGAAAACAAATTATAAAGGACCCAAACAAATTTTGAGTCGGCGCCCTTTTCCAGTCGGTCGGGGCGTGCTGAAAAAAAACCTACAATAATTGAAATAAATATTTAATTATGTTGTTAAAAAAAAAAGAAAAACAACCTATTTTTTTAAAATTTTGGCCCAGTGTAGTCGTAAATGGAGTCTATAAAAGTTTCGATTGTAAATATAATCTTGTCCTCTTTTCCTTGATAGTGACATCACCTTATTTGCCTAATCATCAAATTCGTAAATACACAATAACATGACTGGGGCCACATGTGGCGCTGCTTACTCGTCCGGAGCACCTGCGATCACCCCGTGTTTTCGGCGGTGTTCGTAGTGCTAAGTCTTAAGTTTTATATGGTGTTTGTCAAAAATGCTGAGTTGTTCTCTGGAAAGTTTATACGAATTCACAGTGAAATCGTTAATAGAGTTTATAGCCGACTATACGGTATGGATTTTTCTCATTGTTGAAGGCCGTACGGTTGCCTATAATTGCTTTCATCCACTTCATTTCAACTTGAATGGATAGTTGTCTCATTGGCAAGCATACCACATTTCTTTGCCAATCATGTGGCTTGTCGGATTCCGGTAGGAGTCTGATCTGTGGCAAAATGTTGACGGGCGTAAAACATAAATTAAAAAAGTATTTATATTATAAAAAAGAGACGTGAAAGATACCAAAGGGACATTCAAACTCATAAACTGACAACACCATGACAAAAAAGAAAAAGACAAGAAGACAAACAACAGCATGTACACAAAACATAACATAGAATACTAAAGACTGAGCAACACGAACCCCACCAAAAACCGGGGATTATACATACAGTATGTTAAAGTACATTTTCGGGTTCATATTCATATCGCAATAATCTATTCTTGCCCTTGATATATTTGAAAGATTTTCCAGATAGACACAGTAGTAATACTAGTACTAAATATTCACCCATCTAATTCGTTGTATCTAAATACACAGCGACTCAAAAGTAAGCTTGTTTCTGTTTTATATATGAATATCTTTTGATACGCTCGGGACTATCTAGAGCTTGACACATTGTATACTGAACCATCTGTCTTTTGTTGAAGACTATGAGTGGCCCTCTCGATGTCTTTTGTTGAAGACTATGAGTGGCCCTCTCGATGTCTTTTGTTGAAGACTATGAGTGGCCCTCTCGATGTCTTTTGTTGAAGACTATGAGTGGCCCTCTCGATGTCTTTTGTTGAAGACTATGAGTGGCCCTCTCGATGTCTTTTGTTGAAGACTATGAGTGGCCCTCTCGATGTCTTTTGTTGAAGACTATGAGTTGCCCTCTCGATGTCTTTTGTTGAAGACTATGAACTGCCCTCTCGATGTCTTTTGTTGAAGACTATGAATTTCCCTCTCGATGTCTTTTGTTGAAGACTATGAGTTGCCCTCTCGATGTCTTTTGTTGAAGACAATGAATTGCCCTCTCGATACCTTTTGATTGTTTTTGTGATTAGGTTGCATTTAACTAGTGACCCAAATATTACGTCATACACTTAGATATATACACATAACTGTTAAGTCTATTGGTTGAAAAGCTTTCAAATCACCAATTCGAAAAATTACATACGTTTTTTTAATTTGCTTGATTGATTGACTTTATTTATCTTTTATCTTTCCTCTTCTAGACTAAATGCCCTTATATTTTACAATTATGGGTTGTTTTCCTGTGAGAGAACTTTCACATGTTTATTGACTGTGATGGATAGTTGTCTCATTGACACTCATACCACATCTTCTTATTTATATTTACTGCAGGGTTTGTTGCTCGTGCTGTGTGGATGCAGTAGAATGTGTCCCCGTGCTTGTGGTGTATGGCCTTATATTTTACAATTATGGGTTGTTTGCCTGTTAGAGAACTTTCACATGTGTTTATTGACTTGGATGGATAGTTGTCTCATTGGCACTCATACCACATCTTATTTATAAATGTTCCCCCCACACATAAGCAAACCGAAACAACTAAAGCTTGAATTTTTTTGGTTGACAGGTCAGTGTGATACAGCTGCGTACCGTAGTAGATTAGAAACAAAAGATAGCTACTGATGCTTTTAATAAAAAACAATATCAATGTATAGATCACAGCATATGTCCTTTCATTCTTTTTGTCGAAACGAAAACCGGATTACATATAATCAGGATATCTATACTACTAAAGGAAGAGACCGATTTCATTGAGCCGCAACTCCTCTGAAAACATACAAAGTCGGAAATATTTGTGATATGACGTATAAATGTAGTGTTTTGTACTTCCTAAATTTGTCTTTGAAACAATCTTTTTTCCACAGAAAACGCCAATTTTTGAGAAAATATCCAAATTCGGAGACTTCAGTGTCTTATACGTTTTCGCACATGCTCAGTCGACGTACTGCCCGCGAAATTTAAAAACTCTTTGTTTCAACACTTGCCCAATTGTACCGCGATTTCGCTGGCATCCTCTAGTATGTATAAAATGCATACGCGACAGGATGTTCCTACTTAACTCAAGGTTTTGTAAGTACTTGTTTAACGAATGTGGTATTTTTGATTGATTCTGAGCCCAGTCGTTTAGAAAAGGACAATCGAAGACCATCATTAAATAAATCAATTAAATACAATACAATACCACAATTTTATGACTGAGCAAAGTGCCCTCATGAGTGCAGATTTACTACAATTTATTTATCACTACAAGACAAAATATACAATACTAAACCTAATTTCAATGATTAAGTAGATTTGAACATTCAACATATATAATAGAAAAACAAAGGATATGGGGCATTCATCCATGACACAAAATCAGTACATGCACAGCAAAAAAAAAAACATACAATAAGCAAAGGAACAGCGCTTTTATTGCTGTTCTTCATCTCAAAGTCACAGCGAGGCCTTCAACACGGAGCAAAAAAAAAACAAAACAACTCTCACCTCACTGCAAGTTTAAGACGGCCCCTAGCACCGGCTTGAGCGGAATTCTTTGCCAAAAAAAATTGGATATACTTTGTAAGATGTAACACCACCTAATCGGGCCTGGTCAAAAAAGAACATACTGGAAAGTAATACATATGGTGTAAATCTAAAACTATGTAGCATAATATATTTTTAGTATTTAGGTATCAGATGAAAAGTGAAGGACTGGTATATACATTTATTAAGAATAGAACTGCATATAATATACTGGTGAATAAAATCCCAAAAGAACCAGCAATATTAATATGGATTCCACTTTGGAACACAAAAATTAATATAATAAAGGAGACAGCTCTGGAGTAAATTTCCCCTGAGAGCATCTATTTCTTATGATGGTTGCTTTAACAGTCTATGAATTATACATGTTAAATATCTGATATCTATGTCTTCGTTGCTTAAAAGCAAGACTAGTTTTTTTTTCATCAGAAATTTACTATACTGTTTATTATTATTATGTAATTGATCGAAGTATTGTTTTCGTACTGTTGTTTAGTATGGGCATACAATTGAAAAATGGATGTCATTTTCAACAGAATTCTTACATCAATTACGTTTTCTTTCACTTATGTCAAAATTACAATATCTTCGCTTTTAAAACAACACCTTAGCTGAGCATTCTATAGTACAACGGGGTTACGATTCTGGCGCAATGGAAACAAATTCAGTGATAATAGAGAATGAGTTACAACCAAATTCACGATTTAAATTACTCTCCTCGTATACATGTAGATAAGATATCAGACTTACAGGTTTGTACGCTAGACGCTAGTTTCGTCTACTAAAGACTCAGCAGTGACGATTGAATCAAAAAGGAAAACCCCCAAAAAAAAGTACGCAGTTTAAGAGCACTGAGGACCAACAATTGCTAAATTTAAAAAAGCGAAATACAGCTACGGTAATCTATTCCTGGGGTAGAAAATCCTTAAGTGTTTCGAACGATTCAAAGTTTTATAAACAGTTAATTTATTAATTTTATCATATCAATGATAATTAATGTCAACACAGAAGTGCTGACTACTGAGCTGGTGATACAATCGGGGTGGACACCTCCATCAGTTATGGCATCGACCACGTGGTTGTGAGATAATCAAAACGACTCATCAGTGATGCTCGAATCAAAAAGGTTAAAAGGATAAATATAGTACAAAGTTGAATAGCATTGAGGATTAAAAATTCTGAATGGTTATGCCAAATACAGCTAAGATAAAACATTCCTTGGGTAGAAAATCTTAAGTATTTCGAACAATTCAAAGCTTTGTAAACAGTTAATTTATTAATATTAAAATATCAATATTAAAAGGCCAAATAAAGTACGAAGCTAAAAGCAATTAAATTCTCCCTCGCCTGCTCGTCCGAATTTAAAGCATTTCTTTACTAATTCCTTCGTATGATAAGACAAAACTCTAATATAGGTTTGGTTGCTCGCAGTAACTTGTTCTTTTCTCTTGCAAATAATGTTCAATAACATATTAATATTATAATATAAATGAACAACAATATTCAAATTGACATTTGCATACAACAAAATTGTCCAACACATCATTATATATAAATAAACTCAATCTCTATATGATCCATATTCATATATATGACAATAAACGTTAAACTGTACGTTGTAGTTACTGTGAGCGCCTTCGATGAACTGACACCTCAACAAATTCTTTATATAATATAACGGTATCCCACCCTTTACACCGCCAAAGGATTTCACTTGCATATATAACCAATATATCTAAATCCAAAATAACAATAATCCGTTTTACCACTACTCTAACCAGTTTGAATATATATAACTATATTTGACACAGGAAAATCCCTATAGTCAAACGAAAAGAAATATATTTACATAAGATATACACATAAATTGTTGACTTATACTTCAATCTTACATTGCCTTAGGAGTAATGTTTCATTAATTTACTAAAATATATTTGTATCATGTTAACTTAAACGTGTAGTTAATCATTACAGATCTACTCCACAACGAGTAAGGATACGTTATCAACTGTTGTATTATTATATGCTTACATTACCAATATTAACTTATTTTTTCGTGTTATAGCCTAAATTTTAGATCTACCTGCTAAGTTTAAAGCTACTCAAGCACTGGAATGTTTAGCTTTCATTGCTTATGTTGCTGCTGTTGTGTGTGCTTCACTACAGACATTTGTTTTGAAACAGAGAATATTGTACATAGTTGGAGCTCTTACCAACTGCGTGGCAGGTATGAAAAGTTAAATTAGATAAAACCGAAATCTGAGAAATGAAAAGTTTTCACAGAAAAAGCAATTTTTTTTTTATTCCTTTTTTAAAATTTTTCCTTTGATTTCCCCGTTTGGTTCTAAAAGTCATTAAAACTAACTATTAGATTTGTTGTTAATTTGTCGTCGTGCTGAATATGCTGTAATAGTTGTCACTGGACGTAAAACAGACCTGAATCAATCAATCAAACCCTATTTTGGTTCATTTATAAGGAAACAAGTACAAGATATTAGACTAGACAGACATCTTTCTATGACGATGATTGCTGAACAATTGGTAGTTGCATATTTATAATAATACATTAACTGTTTACAAAACTTTGAATTTTTCGAAGTACTTAGATTTTCTACCACAGGAATAAATTTACCTTACTTTGACAAAACCTTTAGGAATATTGGGTCCTCAATGCTCCTAAACTCCGTACATTATTTTGTCTTTTTCACTTTTTTCATACGAGCATCACTGATGGTCTTTTGTAGACAAAACGTGCGTATGGTGTATAAAATTTTAATCCTGGTATCTATGATGAGTTTATTGACATCAATTGGCAAACATTGTATGTTACATAAGTTGACAGCCATCTTAAGCCCTCTGCTAGCCGAATTGATGTTATACTAGTGCGATGTATACAGTTCTAAAAGAAGACAAGTTAAATAAACATCTTCTTGGTTGCTGTATATTATATTTGTTTTCTAGTGTATTGTGCTGTACATTAGGCCATTGGTAGTATTGTTTGTTTTGTTTTATATATATATACTTTTTTCATTTCGGGGTTTTCTATAGTTTACTATACTGTGTTGGTTTTGACAAACGATGACCTATAGGACTTACGTCTACCCCATGTGTTCTCTATTGGATTTTTCCCGTTGGCAATCAAACCACATCTTCTTACTTTTTTAACTTACTATGCCATTGCAAAAAAACGAAAAATATCAAAAGACAAATATATGGTCACTTTAGTCTTCTTCCAACCAGCTGTTAAAGTGGGATGTCCTTTTGACTTTACTGGATGTATATATACACAGTCACGTCCAGCCATAATGGGAACGTTAATTCAGATGCCTCGTGTAGAGATAGTGCCATGCTCTCTGCACGGTTAGAACCCTTGCAACAATTCCTTGAGGGCTCCGTATGTGGCCTGTTGCAAGGCAGAATTTCTGTCCCTATCCAATATGCCCTCATTTTCCAGTGATAGCCCAAATTTCCCCGACTTTCATCCCGGACGGCTTTTATTACAAAACCTACCGATTGTATTTATTGTTCAATTGTTCTTGGCCTGTATGTGCATGTAATATTTGGCACTGGACTTTAAGCAAACCTCAATCAACCAATCTTCTTATGTTTATATAGTAAATACGTTAATTTGAATTGACGATGTCGTTTCCCTCTTCAATCCGTATTTAAGTTAGTAATTACATTTCATAAACCACAAGGAATACGTCTTCATAGATGGGAGGGTCTGCTTCACATTTATATCGAAAAACTGATACATATGGACGATTGTTTTTCAAAATTATTATTTTTGGTGAATTTATTTGACAATTCTAGGCATTGGGTCAATCTAATTAAAATATAGAACTCTGATTTCGTTACACTACATAAGAGTAGTGTAACGAAATCATAGTTCTATATTTTAATTAGATTGGGCATTGGGTTTACGTTTCACGTGAAGGAAACCGGACGAATAAAGTGTAGTTTTTAGATTTTGTTGACTAAAGAGAATTGGGAGATTCCAAAGACGATTTCAAACATAGAAAGTCGACGACAAACTGACAACGCCATGGCAACCAAAAGACAAAAACAGTATACAAAACAAAAATCCAGAAAACAAACGAATGAGCAACACGAACCTCACCAAAAGTCGGGGATGATCTGAGCTGCTCCGGAAGGCCAAGCAGATTCTGCTCCACAATTCACGAAGCTCTTCAACTGTTTCGGTACTTATACATCCTCGGCTTTCAAATATTCGGCTTGGAGCGTTCCTGATGAAGGTGAATCCAGAAAAGCGCTTCGGACGCATGAAATTATTTAACGTGTTGTTTTCATTTTTTAATGTAATGATAATTGTACTGGGTTACTCTTTGAATAATTTTGTCTTTTATTACAGGTGGTTTGAGTTTGATTGGATGCATCATCTTTTCCACTATTGAAAACATTAATCATAGTGATCTTCATTTCTCGTTTGCATTTTGTATCATAGCTAGTATCGGAGGAGTTGTAGCTGGAGTGTTCTTCATCCTGGCATGGAAATGGATACCGGCGAACTGATATTAAATATTATAAATGAGGAATTTAAATGACATAGTGAATAATGAACGTTACTCAATTAGAAAAGTTAATTGTTGCAAATGTCGTATAAAATAAATTTTACAATCCTCTTTTTATTATTGACATGGCGATGAATACCTTCAAACTAATACATAATTTATCAAGTGTTATATGAACAATTTACTTACACTTAAAATTTTCAAAAAGGGAGACGAGAAAGCGTTTAAAGGGTTAATCTAGAGTAGTTTCCACGTGTTAGTTTCCTGAATAAGTACATACATCAGGCCGTTAGTTATCGCGTTTGGATTGGTTTACACTTGTCATTTAGCTTAATATGCGGTATAGGTTTTGTTCATAGTTGTTACTTCTATGTCACTGGCTGTCTGACAGTTTTCTTGTTGGCAATCATACCAGATTTGTTTCATAGTTAGTATTAAACATCTGACAATTTTTAGTCTGCTGTTCATGCAATATTATATTAGAATATTTTTAGTGTTTTTTTTTTACTTTCGAAAAATTCTGCCTGATAACCGACCAGACAATAGTTTTAAGTTGACTAAAGGCATAATTTACATTTAGTGATGATTATTAGCTAGCAGATACATTGTTCTTTAAAAATGCGACAGTCATATAAGAATCGTAATGACGCTATAAGTATTAATTAATCGGTTTTCAAGAGCTAAATTGACAGCGCGTCATCCCTATAATGGCTTACATTTTCACGATTTTTTTTGTTTTTTTTTTTGGGGGGGGGGGGGGGGGGGGCATTTGTCTACTGTCGTGGAATAAGGGCAAGGGTATTGCTTACCGTACGATTTGAATAGGGCGTGCAGCAACATAAAGCGGTATGGATTCCTTTACATGTGTTTTAAGCTCAGGAATGGGATCAAAATAAAATGTACGGACTTTACATGTCTTATTATTTTCTTGATTTTTAAAATACTTAGTAGTTTTTCTTTCTTTGCAAGAAAATCTACAACGATGTAGCATTTCATTATGCTATTTAAATGCGTTTGAATCGTGGTTCAACTTTTTTCTTGTTATGCATTGTTTTCGCCGTTCCTTCCAATCTACACTTGAAATTTGTTAACGTTTCATATTTTTCTAGAGGGAGAAGATAAAAACCACCAAGCTATCCACATTAGACTTATTGACGTGGATTAAAGCAAATATAGGTCACCAAACGACCTTCAACACGGAGCAAAAGCCATATCGTATAGAACGTTATAACATACAACTCAATAAAAACGGCGACCTTGTTTCGGATTTTTAATTGTACAAACCTGTTTCAGTCGTTTGTTGATGTGGTTCTTACGTGTTTCTCGTTTCTCATATAGATTAGACCGTTGATTTTCCTGTTTGAATTGTTTTACACTAGTCAATTTGGGGCCCTCTATAGCTTGCTGTTCGGTGTGAGCCAAGGCTCCGTGTTGGAGGCCGTACTTTGACCTATAATTGTTTACTTTTTACACATTGTGACTTGGATGGAGAGTTGTCTCATTGTCACTCGTACCAAATCTTCTTATTTCAATAAACGCCATAATAAAAATGTGAAAAGAAAAAAGGACGTGCAGCAACAGAAAGCGGTATGGATTCATTAACTGGTGTTTTAAGCTCAGGAATAGGATCATGATAAAACTTGTAAGGACTTTACATGTCTTATTATTTTCTTTATTGTTTTGATATTTAGTAGTTTTTCCTCCTTTGCAACACGATATACAACGAAAAGGCATTCATTTTGCTATTTAAATGCGTTATACAAACGTTCAGCGATCAATTTCACTTAAAAATCTTGCAAGAAAAAACACTCTTAAGTCATGAACATTTCAGTATATCTTACAATCAATTCTTTTGTCGTAAGGGTTTTTGTGAAAAGAGCCCCATCAGTTTATGTTACCGAAAAAGAACCAAAAAGTATAGGCAAAAACAGAAAAGGAATCAGAGCTATGCATGAGGGAGATACACCCCTTAACTTAAAATTATATCTGTTAACATTGAAACAGCAACTTTCAGTAACACAATGTCAGTATTTTCAACCCAGTACGGTAGAACTGAGCTACGGGGCTGGTGTTTTAGTGACAAACAGTAAGGCAACAGAGGTCTCAACCTAGTTGTATTAATAACATTAAAGGTACAAATTTAACTGCACCATATGCGCACTTTAACAATTAATCACTTTAACAATTAATGTTTCTTCAGTAAGGCTCGAGGCCATAATATTTGAAAGTCTGTTTTCTGCACTATATATCATTACCATAGAAATACTAGATTATTTTTGTAAGCAATTTACAGTAGGTTTTCAATTGATGCAGATGCTGCGTTTTATTACTTGCTGCAAAACGAATTAGCTTAATCCGTCATGTGTTTTTATTTTATTCTATGTAAAAAAAAAAAACTCAATAATAGAATTAATTGGTTTGGCAACCTTATTCAAACATCGAAGATAAAAGGCTTATAATAATGTGTTACCCAGTTTTGGCTACGTAAGACTCATCGGTGGCGCTCGAATCAAAATAGTTGGAAGGCCAAATGAAATATTAATCAATACTACTTTCTCATAGTGTTCATGAAATTGCGGCATACGTTGAATGCTTTAAAAACGCATATTTTGTTTATTTAAAAAGGAATATTTGACATTAACTTCTGTGAATATGAATTATGATTAAAAGAAAAGTGTTTTAGTTTTTTTTTTTTTTGTAAATTTAACTTGTATGACATAATATTCTTCCATAAAAAGGTGACAGGGGAATAGAAATATAGTCACTTTGGTCTTCTTCCGACCGGCAGTAAATCTCTAGTCAAAGTGGATTGTCTGTTTAGCTGTACAAGATGTACAAGTAAGCAGCCACATCCAGTCAGAATTAGAGACGTTTAAATTAGATGCCCCTTTTTAAAAGAGTGCCACGCTCTCTGCACGTTGAAAACTCTTGCAACAACTCTTTGATGGATCCTTAGTTGGCCTGTTGCAAGGCAAAATTTTTGTCCCTATCCAAAATATCATCATTTGCCAGTGGCAGTCCAAATTTCTCCGACTTCATACGGTCGGCCTTTATTAAGGACGTTGAGCAACCAAAAATCAATCAATCTGTGTGCAAATTTCACATGTATGACATACTTTTGAGTTCATGTTGGATCACAAATCTAATTGCAATTTACTGCTAATTATCTTTGATCTAAGTTTTTCATTTGGTCTTATTTGCAATCATACAAAATCGCCTTATTTTTAAAAAGGGAGTAGTGATACAAAATGCTATTTCTTCGGGAGGAAATCAATTGTGATGCTGATAACTCTATGTTATCTTGGATAGATGTTTCTCACCTTGATATATGATAAAAGACTACCGTTTGAATATACAATATATTAAAAAAACTTGTGTCATAGATGACATAAAGTAAATTATTTACTTTCTCAATGTCGGCATCATATTATGCAATCCAACAGCAGAGGTATCGACCAGATTGATGGATTTATATTTATAGCTGACGTTTGAGATTCGATAGTCGGTATTCACATGTAACTAATTGTGCATCCATATTATGATGAAAATGCTACACCGAAGAACAAGTGATCAGTATGCTTGAGTTTTTCATTCACAGTTTTTGTTGAATTTGAAGATATGATTTTCAAGCAGGGTGTCGGCTTTTGTATGGGAACCAACTGTGCACCGCTCCCTGGCCAACCTTTTTCTTACTTTTCATATGAATCAAGTTCCTTCAGACACTTGTAAAACAAGAAGATCAAAGCTAGATTATTTAATTTCACATACAGGTAGATTGATGATGTTCTTTCCATAAACAATCCAAACTTTTCTGTTCCACAAATATATCTTCCTGAACTGACTGGGACTAACTAATAAACCAAATATATAGCATCCTCCGCCTCAATTTTAGACATAAACCTCGGATTTGACTACAGCAGTACTCTCAATTCCAGAATATATGGCAAACGAAACGATTTTCAAATTATAAATTTTACTCACCTTACCAGCAATACTCCAACTTAACCCGCGTATGGAGTATACATTTCTCAACTCATACGATATTCAAGAGAGTTAGCAGCTGCAACTCTGACTTTGTAAAACGTAATCAATGTCTTAGCAAACATTTAATGAACCAGGGTTTTGTTAAAGAACGTTTGGTAAAATCCGATGCCTCAAGACCTGAAAGAAAAATATTCAATGTCTACTTCACAATTAATACAGGATGGTCTTGATTTATAGATTCCAAGTGTTGACCTTGTGTATCATTTCATTTACAGTTTTGCCTTTTTTGGTCTTTGTACTGTTCGGTATCTTTTGGTTGTATGATTCTTGACGTGACACATGAGGTTTTTCATTGTGTTGTTTTCATTTTGTTTACACTTGCATTCATATTTGACTTAATTTGTATCGAAAAAGTGAATATGAAGTTTGTGTTAACTTTTTTGTTGTTGAGTAAATGGTAAGTTTCACCCGTTGCTAGTATAACTTATTTATTTTCAATCTTGTACACGACTATTGTTTTGCTTTGACTAGCAATATTTCGGACAGAATGTTCATTTTCATTTTGGATTGGTCAAAACTAATTTTTTTAAAGATCAGGCTAGAATAACCCCAAGAATTAATATCAACTTGTCATCACATTAACATACACAAAATTTTATTAAGAATTAATGTGCCTGTTGTTCAGTGGTTGTCGTTTGTTGGTGTGGTTCATAGGTGTTACTCGTTTCTCGTTTTTTATATAGTTTAGACCGTTTGTTTTCCTGTTTGAATTGTTTTACACCAGTCATTTTGGGGCCCTTTATAGCTTGCTGTTCGGTGTGAGCCAAGGCTCCGTGTTGAAGACCGTACTTTGACCTATAATTGTTAACTTTTTATACATTGTTACTTGGATGGAGAGTTGTCTCAATGGCACTCATACCACATTTTCTTATTTATATGTAGCTAAATATTTCAGTCAACAAAGAATCTACGTTTGGTAGACTTCTTACAGCATGCATAGGAGCTTATTTAAGAGAATTAAGGATACTAAAACTATTTTTTAACTTTACGATCCGCTATAAAGATGATGTTCTCTCAATAAAAAAAAATAAAATGGGAGACAACGTTGA